TGTTTCTGTATTTACCCCACTGTGAAAGATAAAGTACCTAAACTCTCTCACAATGACAACAGGAATTGGACGTCAGCTCTGGTTGCATTTTTCTTCAGCGAAAGAAAAACAAAACTTGACACAGGTGCTAGTAAAGTGACTGAGTGTTTATCACCTGACTTTGCCTTGTGTAGCCATAATAAAAAATCACCCAATGAGAATTAAAAGATAACCAGCTCAACCAGTCCAAAGACACACAGTCAGCCAAACTGGTGTCTCTAAATTATAATTACGTGTGTGCATTTGTGTGAATTTAACCTGCAGGACACTGGCATCCTGCCCAGGGTGTACCCTGGCTTTATGCCCAGTGAGAGAAGCCCTGGGACACAAACATAGACTCGGGATGGGTAACAGGTGAGGCTGCAGACGGACTGGTTGGATAAAACCAAAGAGAGACACTAAAAGCCATGAACAGGCTTAAGACAGTGGTGAGATTTCAGCTTAATTAGGTACCAGTTAGTCTTTTAACTACTGTCCTCAAAGGCTTTAAAGGACCAGGCCAATCTGTGAACTCTAAGTCATTCAGTTATGCCCAACAATTCGGAACATTAGCTAATACACTGTTCACTAATCTTTGAAATGGATAGCTGGTGCATTTTTAGTCCAAACGCCATAACTGTATACTGGACAAAATTATCAGGAGTTACAAAGACAGACGTCTTACTAACAAAATTACTAACAAAACAAGCAGACCTGATGTTATCAATACAGAATTGAGAGTTGGGGTGTCGAGTTAGGAGCCAGTTAGGAATCGAATTGAAAATGGATTCCCTTGTGGGGAAGTAATCCAGAAAGCGGGTTCAGTATTAAACTGGGGGTGGTCAAATTTGGATTTTTTTTTTTGGGGTGGTTAGGGGTGTGATGTATATTGTGACATCACAATGGTTATACATGCAATAGTCATATCATAACAGTAGATGATAAAAAAAATATTTTAAACTCATCATTTAAAATAAGACTAACGCTGTTTAGGGTACAGTTTCACAACTAAACATAACTTCCACTAAAAATATAACAGATCCATATGATTCAAAGATAATGTCTGATACAGACCTACAGTCTTCATTAGGTATATGTTTTGTCCTTGTACTCTGCATACACAGCAAATTGGCCTCAGTAATGCTCAGATTCATAGTGAAAGTTAAGGAACACACTCTATTATTTTATTTACTTTTTGGGAAGGGGGGCGGGTGTCTGCCAATATCGGCTCCACCAAATGTAAAAGTTTGAGAAACCATTCATATAAAACAATATTTTTAAAAAGGTATAACTTATTACAGTCATGTGAGAAAATTAGGACACCCCATGAAATAATCAGCTCTTTATTGGGCGCCACTACAGGTGACTGCCCTTCGCAGACAGCTTATTCTACAAAAGAGCAAGTTGAGGGAGGCGTAAAAAGAATTTCCCCATGAGGGACAATAAAGGTTAATTATAATTATATAATTA